CTAACAATGTCAAGTGTATACAAGGATTCTTAATAACTAATAAATGTATATTACAGTATAATAATACGGTGAATGTCAAATTCATCGACGCGGTACTGATCGGAGTTGTCCCGCACGACAGAGGCACCCACCCATCGCCTCCAGTCGCCGAAACTGTGCGACAGTGTTTCCGCGTGAACATAATGATCTCAAAAACATATTGCGAGTAGTGGGTCATAAATAGCAAAAGATAGATCACAAAATTCTCTTTTAAAAACAATTAAAATGAGTTAACCAGTTCGACTTATTGGAACTTACCTTAACGATGCGTAGCTGAATATCATTAAACAATTTCATTATTATAAAACTGGGTTATGGGCATTGACTTACAATTATATGGACGTCGGGTCCGCGCTAAAAAGTGTCCGCACTTGTAAAACGCTTAAATCGTATACAGAGCGCGACACTCCGCTTTAGTCTTCATTTGTTCTACGGACAGCGCGATACTGCGATGACATAACAATTTAAATTTCTAATAGGTTGACTTGGGACATTTTTTTCGTGGTTTTTGTATTAGACCCGTCGTCCATTTATTTGTAAGTCAATGGTTATGGGTTTGTATGATATCTCAAAAAAATATTTTGTCACTTAGCCAAGTTTTAATTAGTGGGCGGCAGAATATGACCATCAACTCGCCATTGAAGAGCAGAATACCAAAAAATTCGCATTGGCAGTTATATATATTAACTGCCATTACAAATGTTAACAAACTACCACTCTTAACTTTTTTGGGACTGCTAATTTTAAATCATTGCAGTTGTGTGTCGAAAAAGTCAATGGCAGGTTGTGTTCGTTTGATATTCTGCTAAAGTTAAGAGTAGTGCTTGTCAGAGGCTAGCCATCGAGTTATTATCCAACTGCCATTACAATTTTTTAGCATTCTGCTTTTCAATAGCACGTCGATGTCGTAGTGTATTAATTAATAAAATGTATACTTAATTTGAAAACTGAATTGCTGTTGAAACGAGATAAAAATTTCTATATCGACGTTTGAAAGGCAAAATGGGATAAGCGACAGTTTTGGGTCATATTGAGTTATATCGCACAGTTAATATAATAGTGTATTAACGCACAAAGTGTAATTTTTCAGAATCGATGAAAAACGAAACTCACTACCCGCGAAAGATTGTTAAAATTTATGTATAGTTAAAAGTTTATTTATTACAGACATATTTATTATTTATCACAAAAAGTTTGTCTCATTTTGAGTGACGTAGATTTATTTCAGTTGTTTCTTACAAAATTTTATTGACTTGTAAAGAATCAAATTTTACGTTCAGCAATAGTATAATCTTGAACTTCACATATTTTGGGTTACAACACTATTATAATAACAGTGCGATATATACCGTTGGAGTCAGAAATATGAGCTGAGTGTCGCTTGTTCCATTTTGCCTTTCAAGCGTCGATATGCATAATAATTTCCATAGTAGTTTTAGTAAGACAACATAGATTGTTAGTGTTTGAATTAATGAATAACCATCACTGACATTCCACTGAGACGCAACGGCCATTACAACTAAATCTTAACAGAATATGAAACATAGCCGTAATTGCAATGTTATTACAATTACTAGTGGTTTCAAACTAACCTAGCAAAATTGCAGATCGCGTCTCTTTCAGAGTATTCGTAGTCTCGGAAATTCCTGAAACTACCGTATCGTATCTCTAAACTCATTGTGCTGTGTACAATGTTCTGTTCTGCGCCATTTCAAATTGAGTCTTAAGTTCATCGGGGCTTACAATTCCATTATCATCATTCGACGAGCCGGTGGTCTTTGTGATATCATCTTCGAAACATGTGTGACGTTGTTTCTTGATTTATACTTAAAGCGTCTGGTAATCAATTAAATTGCACAGACAATATGGCGACAGCTAGCAGGTGAAAAAGTAATATTGTACCGCAAATATAATTATTCAAAATGTAATTGCTGATATTGTTTGTAATTTTTTTTCCAAGGCGTCAGTCCAACCGTTGCTCGCGTCGATATATTTCTAAGGTCTATCAGCAAAATAGATGATTACAATATGGTGAGTAAGTTTCTGTAATCATCTGACAAATGACAATTTTATTATAAACAATTTTAAACGTAATTAAGGCCTCGAAGCCGGTCATCTATTAGCAGATTGCAAATTCTTTTATAACCTCTTTATACGTAACACAACATACAAATTTAATACATAAAACTACAACATACTAGTAAACCTACAATAAATTGTCAGTTGGTTCACAATGCAGTAGTAACTAATTTGTCTTATACCAATAGATGGCGTTATAATAAAATTGTCTGTTAATCAGTGGATTTGAAATTGAAATTTGCACATACCGTTTTTCTCACTTGAATTCACTTTTTCATGTGAAATTTTTGGCCATACAATATGTGCTTCAATATTTCGGCCTTTGGAGCCACGCACTTTCTAGCCTAATTATTTTTATCAAATGTCAATTCGGTAGTAATATTTAAAAAACTCACACTGTTTATTACTTCTATTTTCACTTAAGTTTTCAACTTAACAACGGCGCAAGTTATGCCAACTGTTGTACAATATTCACTCTTGTACAGATCACTTTCAATGGAATAACAAAACGAAAACCTAATTAATAAACAGAAATCAACTGACCACTTACAAACCAGACGCACTATAGTACAAGCCTTTAAGCAATTGGATCACGTGCACATTGAGATTGACATTTGTCAAAGTACTCACCGCTACAGTACAGCTATGAAACACTGGTCCCAGTCCACAGGCGGACCACGACTTCCGGCTCCCGGGGACATACGCGACCGCCACCCATGATCACCTCATTTTTACTAATTATTTTCTATATACTTTTTCTTAATCATTCTTCGTTTCCCTCTAGCATTTCCGCAACGATGCAATCACGTATAAAAACAATTTTGGTCGCATACGTTGACTGTCTTCATTGTTATTATTGTCTTGTTTATGTGAATTTGTGTTGTGTAAAATCTTATACGGGGACGTATCGTCACGTCCGCACTCAGCTTGGTGCTTCTGGTGGTTGACCACCCAAGCGCGACACCCGCCCTTGTGGCATACTAGACGTAACGTAGTTCTAGTTAAATTCCTCGTGAGCCTGCATGAAGGTAACCACTATTTAAACAAGCATTCCTTTAACGAATGCTCGGAACGGTGAGTTGGTTCCAACGCTTTCGCTTCGCACTGTAGTTTTATTCATAATGCACGTAGCTTGCATTTATTAGTAGGTCTAATTTATTATTAGATTAATAAACATTTATAGGTCGATGTTATATTGTTACATATCCTTTCGAAAGTAGCTTTTGGATCTCGAATAAAGCCTAATAGTAGTACATTGTGTGTTAAATAAGGAGTTACGGACGAGACTCTATTAGAAACCCGAAGTCGAAGACTGAGGGCTTTCAGAGCCGAGGTTCGTGATTCCCGTACCCCCGTGTTACATATAAAGTTTTTCATCACGTTTGTGAGGAAATAAATACAAAGATAAATGCAGAAAAAATAATATCGCATGACAACCATTTATATCTATGTACATATCATCAATAATTATGGATTTTGTAAATGGCGGGCTTTTTTTTTAACTAAACAAACAGATAACCAGCTATTCTTAGGCAAAAACACATGCGACCATGATGTATTAGACATAAAATAAATAATTTGTATATACTAAAAATACTGCAGAATTTGTATTTATAACATGAATAATAATAAACACAGATAAATTCCTATACTTCAAGTTTATGCAAAATGCATTAAGATTTTTCGAGCATAAAAACTTTTTGCTTAATCTTGACGTTGAGAATTGCAGTGCAACGTGCAACTAAGAAATAAATCAATTACTGCCTTAAAGCGGTATTGTAATGAAAAAGTCCGTCGGCGTAATTAGGACTTTACAGTCGACTTTGCCTACATGTTATGACACGGTTTACGAGCAAGTGTGATGAAAAATTACATTATCAACCAGAATTCGTAGCGCCCTTATTCGGGGGGCAGAAGCAAATGAGCTAGCAAGAACGCATCCATCACTGTCGATAGTATCAAACGGTGCTCTCCTCGCCAATATATTGCCATATCGTCCACGTCATTCTAAAAGCTATTCTTCGATGCATGCGCCCCTTCCTACTTATATGTGGTCCATACATATGTATACTGTTTTGCAGCTTTATTTGTGAGGCAACAATTCATTTGACTTGCTCTTTTGATGTCGAGGGGTCTGTTTCCAGTGTTTCGGTTTATTGTAAATTATTAAGAAAGAACCTTCGACAACATCCTTTCCTTTAGACAATAAGCTATAATGTAGAACATTTGTGTCAATAACCCTTTATCTGCAAATGGTATATCCCTGTTCCTAGTAGCTGGTTCATGGCGCACTATAATTTCGGTAAGAGCACTATAGCCAAAGTATGGGCACAAATAATAGGTACCTATCACGTAAAGCTTTCTGATGTACTCATTATAAAGTAGCATATACTTGCTTTCATTACACTTGCACGTAAATGGTATGATTGCATGCAGGCTAACTTGGCTGTAACGCCCCAAACGAAACCCTTTTGCAGTTTTTCTTCTTATTACAGCCATGGTCGTGTAATGAGAGGAAAAAAGTCCTGAGGGTTTTTTTGGGGCATTACAGTCAAGTTAGCCGGCATGCAATTATACTATTTACGTGCAGATGTGATGAAAACATAATTTTTTGTGATATAGCTTATTTTTAACGCATAAAAATATAACACGATCTACTTAGGTAGTTTAAAGTTAATCAAAAGCTTAATGTTACCAGTTAATTGAAACTGTTTTAATAAATAGCTTATAGGAATTGCATAGATATTGTCGAAACGCTAAAAAATAAACTCTGTGCCCAGTAATAGGCTGCACATGCAAGATTTGACAATGTCTAAAAAATGTAAGAAATAATTTGCATTGACTTAAACATAAGCATTTTACAAAGTTGTATATGTTTTCAGGAATATTCCGTGCAACTTACATTTCGCGAGCAGTGGTTAGACGAACGGTTGAAGTTCAACAACTTGGGAGGTAAATAAGTCTAAATGAATAAGTTCAATTAGCAGACTCCAGTAGATTCTTAAATATGAAAAAGTAAATACCCTTAAAGGTGGAATATTCTCTTTAAATTTTAACAGGATCACAGTATCCTCATTCCAACAAAAAAAGAATCATCATATTCGGTTTGCAAAACCGGGGTAATCGAGTAATAACTATACACACAAACAAAAATACAGTCTAATTTTTTGAATAACAAAGGAACCTCGTATGTCCAATTAAAGTTTAAAATATAATTTGTAAACCCATTGACTTACAAATAAATGGACGACGGGTCTAATACACAAACCACGAAAAAAATGTCCCAAGTCAACCTATTTAAACGTAGTGTCATGTAAAGGAATATGAAAAAGCTAAAACGTTGAATTTAAATTGTAATGTCATCGCAGTACTGTTTAATTTTGCTTGCTTCGCTGTCAGTCGAACAAACGAAGACTAAAGCGTGAATGACGCTCTGTATACGATTTTAACGCCCTATAAATTCGGACACTTTTTGTTCGACGTCCATGTAATTGTAAGTCAATGTGTAAACCCTTATTTTGTTATACAAAAAGGAATAATCATAGATTGTCGTATAATTATTTCCAGCAATTATGTTTTTTGTGCCTATTCAAAAGTTCACTTTAATGTAGGTTACGAGGTTAAGGAGTCTTGCTAAATCTTAAACCAATTGAGTAGTCCACTAGCAAACTGCGTTATGTGCGTGAATAAAAAAACTACAAACCATAAAAAAAAACAATTATTGTTCTGAAAACGCATTTTTAAATGGTACTTTTTTAATTATCTGAAAATTGTTATACAAAAGAGATAAACAATATGAAGAAACAAATTGACACTATTAAACATTTTACTTTATTTACATTAAAAAATTTAACATAGACAATTTTGCCCCAGTGATCTTTAAAGAAATCTTAAAAGTTTTGTAATTGTTCAGAGCTAGTTTTGCAACAACACTATGATAACATGACTGATCAATGTACAATTCAAGAATTCAACCAACAATTCAAGAATATCGTATGTAAAGCAATCTTCTCCGAAATGTTTGACGACCAAGTTTTTAATAAATGAAGACGAGGGACCTCTCGGATGACAAAATAATAAGTACCAAACAAAGCAGGGTTTGCAGGTTGACGACAAAAAGGCAACTTTAAAAGTGTAAAACTAAGAAAGACAGCGACTTGTATTGTTGAAGTATTTGAAATTATTTAAAATACTGATCCATTTCACGCCATTAACAACAAGTCATTAAAAATTTCACATAGCGCTGTTTGCAAGAGGACTACTCAATTTGACACATTTGTTTTATTGTTAAATCATATTTCCTGCTCCAATATTCTGCTAATCCACCATTTGTATTGCAGGCCGTCTGAAATATCTGACTTTGACCGAAGCTAACAGAGTATGGATGCCTGATTTATTCTTTTCGAACGAGAAAGAGGGTCATTTCCACAACATCATCATGCCGAATGTGTACATCCGTATATTCCCCAACGGCAATGTCCTCTACAGCATTCGTATATCCCTCACCTTGTCATGCCCCATGAACCTAAAACTTTACCCGCTGGACAAACAAACGTGCTCACTGCGTATGGCAAGTTGTAAGTGTCTAGACATGGCAGTTGAACAGCGATCGTGATTTAACGGCACATGTTCCTGTGACACCCCAATAACTTGTATTTCAGATGGCTGGACTACGGACGATCTAGTATTCTTATGGAAAGAAGGCGATCCGGTGCAAGTCGTTAAAAACCTCCATCTACCAAGATTTACGCTCGAAAAGTTTTTGACAGATTATTGCAATAGCAAAACTAATACCGGTGAGCCATGATTTTGTCACCTAGACGTTCACAGGACGTCTGTCGCACGATTAATATCATATCCACCCGAGTTATCTGTGACTTTCTTGATTTGCAGGGGAATACAGTTGCCTTAAAGTGGACTTGCTCTTCAAACGAGAATTCAGTTACTATTTGATCCAGATTTATATCCCTTGCTGCATGTTGGTTATTGTATCATGGGTGTCGTTTTGGCTTGATCAAGGCGCGGTTCCAGCAAGGGTGTCACTGGGTGAGCATCACTGGGTGTAGATTATTAATTCTCGGTTGAACAGTATCTTAGCGACGTAACGTTGCTATTCAATGTACGTTTCTGCTTTTAGGCGTAACTACGCTCTTGACCATGGCTACGCAGTCCTCCGGCATCAATGCATCTTTGCCACCTGTATCATACACAAAAGCTATCGATGTATGGACTGGAGTGTGCTTGACATTTGTTTTTGGAGCATTATTAGAGTTTGCCTTGGTAAATTATGCATCACGATCCGACATGCATCGTGAGAATATGAAGAAGACCAGGAGGGAAATGGAATCTGCTGTTAACATGGATGCGGCATCGGACCTTATGGATACGGACAGCAATGCCACTTTCACAATGGTGAGCTCGCCTCTATTGTATAAATTGTTTGAGCGATATTTACACCTTTGAAATCTATAGCGTTGTCCCGTTATGTGAGTAGGCTAAAGAAATAGTTTAGATAAAAATTTAGTTTTTATTTAAAAATTTTATTTTTCTCATTTTAAAGAGCTCAACGTTTTTTCAGCAGTTCAATCTGCCGTTTATTCATACTCATCGTTTTGAATGAACGGCAATATTCATAAATAAATACCTATGTTAGTGATACAACAGGCCTCTGCTTCTGCTTTCACACCTGCGGAAGTTCCGCATGCTTTTTCACATCTATTACGTTTTTTTTTCGCAACTAACTTTACGACGGATGAAGCGCGCACGCGGACCACTCGGCGATGGGACAAACGTTTTTTAGCAGTTTTGTTTTATTTTAAGTGAAATTATGAAACCAAAAACAAGTCCTGTCTATAACTATTTCCTTGAGATCTCTATAGTATTTCCGCTAAGATTTACTTTTAACATCTGTTTCTGTTTTGGTTATGACAATTCCGTTACATCACTACTCTATGTTATACATTACAATTACCCATCTCAACCCGTTTCGAAAGTCAGTCTGTCTTTCTAGTCTATGTGTGTAGGTAGTTCACTGGCTTAGATTAAAACTGGATGCACCTTAGAAATGTATAGCTAAACTCGTTCGAGCAAAATGCATTGTGTCTGTCGCCCCTGACTGGTCTGCAACTAGCAGAAACCTCTGGTGCGCGGCGGCGTGCTGGATCCCAAGATGCGACAATGCGAGATCCGCATCAGCACCCCACGGAGAAACTGCTGCCGCCTTTGGATGTCAAAATTCCCAACCAGATCGAAGAGGATCGACGTCATCTCAAGAATCACTTTCCCACTGGTCTTTGCGCTGTTCAACCTAGCTTATTGGTAAGTCTTTCGAACGATTCGTAATTACAATTTACGCTTAAAAGACGATATTACCATATGTTGAATTTAATTCTTCCCGTACTAATAATAAGGTTCATTTTGCTTGGGTCGCGCGGCAGGAACACTGGCTTTATTTCAGAATTTTTTTTTGCTAAACGAATATAGAGCCATTCGAAAAATTTATATTGTATACTATAAGCCATTGACGTACAATTATATGGACGTCGGGTCCGCGCTAAAAAGTGTCCGCACTTGTAAGGCGCTAAAATCGTATACAGAGCGCGACACTCCGCTTTAGTCTTCATTTGTTCTACGGACAGCGCGATACTGCGATGACATAACAATTTAAATTTCGAATAGGTTGACTTGGGACATTTTTTTCGTGGTTTTTGTATTAGACCCGTCGTCCATTTATTTGTAAGTCAATGCTATAAGCGTTCTATTTAGCTCAGTGGATACAAAAAAAAATCATTAGTTTATATATAGTACCTATTGAATACGGTTTTCTTGTAAAATGTCGAGATAAGTTTGTGTTTTTGTTCTATCGTGAACTTTTTTAGGAATGGTCTTTTCACGCCGTTTAGTAATAAATATATTATACTCTCAATTTTACTACAATTTTTTCCCAAAGTGATTGATACAACACTTTAATTGTTATGCAGAATCAACCAAAGTCATTTGGATGTGCGCTATGTGTGAAAGCCCACATTCGCATAATCTCGTGGTGCACTCGTTTTTCATTTAGAATTGAAAAGAAGCACTCGCTTGGTATTTAATATATATATATATACATTGGCCCATCCTCGTCAATCCAGACCATTTCCATCGAGGTAGAGTTTGCTGTACAAATTTCAAGCCTCGTCCCGCCTCGCCGGTGGAAAACCACCTTTACACTACTTGTTATACTATAATAATAAGGGACGACTTTAGGCAGGAAAAATCAAAATTATACGGCTTTTGCAAATAGAATTAGCATTTCTTTAAAACAAAAATCTATCAAACTTTAAACTTGGAAGACTCTACTACTGGTTTTTCAAAATATCAAGTTGATCATTTTGTTTTGCAGGTCAACTTATTTGTTTCGGGATGAAGACGAAGAAAAATGAGAAACGGCCAAAGAAGAGGAAACACGAAATGCGATTAAAGTAGATAAAGATATATATCAACCTTATAAGACATGTCTTTATCTACTGATAATCAGTATTGTCCTCTTCATTCCAGCAATCTGTGCGTGTAAGAAATTTTATTCTACAGACAATACCAGAAAAAACGAACTAAATAACAACTATATTGACAAAAGCAACATGCCAAGGGCCTCAGATAGAAATACACTGGAAGAGATAGAATTAGCCGAATATCCGTAAAGTATACTAGTATAGTACAATCCATTGCCACTACGAGTGGGGCCACCACTCTCGGCACAGTGGTGACACCGCTATTGGCAACTACATAATTAAACTCACAACAGATAGCGGAATGGCATATGGGATAAAAAGGACCTTAGAGCACTTTTTCAACTTTAACTACTACAACTACAACTCCAAATTAAGAAACGTGTTAAAATTATTAGTGTAGGAACACTAATCAAATAATCAAAATAGGATATTTTGAAAAATTTGTAGTGTTCCTATTTTAGACTTTTAGTACAAAATAATAATACCTTTATATACCACAAATAGTTAATAACTGTAAGAATAATTTTAAATTTTTTAAATTTTCTATATTTTATACGAAAAATGTACGTATCTACCTAACTGCCAGTTTCTGTTGTAAATAATTAATGTGCCACATCTAAAGCTATTGTTTTTACCTACAACTGTTTGAACTTTTTATGTCGAAGTAGTTAGGCGAGGTCTTTGCCCGTCACGATGTTACTGTAGCGCACACTTCTTAGGTTAGAATAGCTGTTTACTGTCCAACATAACAACTCAGCACCCTAAGGGCTCCTTCACATTAGACTCTTATAGAGGGCAGCTGATATTGTATGAAAATTAGTAATGGCGTTAAGTTTAACGCGCAATTTACATTGCGGCGGAACGAAAGCGAAATTCGCATTCCCACGAATGCTCGCGAGAATTCCCATAGTTGCGCCTTTAGCCTGTAGTAGGTGTTCATTAATTCTAGATTGAATCTTTTACATGACAAAGATGAAGAACTTATATATTGTTTTTAATTCGCTTCTGTGCGAAACATGAGAAGAAGAGAAAAAAAAGAACAAAAAGGAAAAAGTATGATCATAATTTGTCGAAAACGAAAATATTTCGCAAAGTTTATATGCGGATTGGCCAGGCGTCGCCGACGGCAGCTGCGACATCTCGCGAATGCAAAAACATCCCCGAGAATGCGTGGTTCATATCTATCACTCGTAGTTCGTACGTTAGACAATTGACCATAAGGTTCATTTCTATGTACAATATAGTTGTAAAAATTGGCTTCCGTTCCATTCCCCCGCAATATAAATTGAGCCTAAGAGTTGGAAACATAGAAGCAACCAGCGACTAAAAGCGAGTATTCTATTTTCACACAGTTTGCGCCTCATCTAAGTGGAAAATTGTACCACTATGTTTAAAACGGCGTTCTGAAGTAAAGCCCCATAAAGGTGTTTCTAGAAATATAATAATAGTCTAAATATAATCGACTTTTATATAAAAACTGTTTGAAAGAATCAAAATGTGAAAAAAAACGTAACAAAAATAGATGAAAAAAACTACCTACAATTTAAAAACATCTGCAGGGTCTCTACAGGTGGAATGATTCGGCTAAATGCTGGCCAGAGCATAAATAATTAGTGAGAGACTTTTCTACAATGCCAATGTACAAATTTTTATAAATTTACACTTATGTAGTGTAAATGTGGATTAATAAAGAAAAAGCGTCTAGATTGTGTAAATGTGTGTGATGGGCCCACCATAGTCACATTTAATATAAATAGGTAAATAGCCATTACCACACTGTAGCTAACCAATACAATAACTATTAGACTCATTGGCAGTAATCACAATTGGTATTTGCCTAAACTTCGAGAATAGAGACAAAAAGTGGAGACTACCTTACGCCAACATTTTTTTGTCCCAGAATTTTTTAGGATTAGGAAAATCACTTAGTGTATTAAAAAATTGACGTCATTTGGGATAAGTAGACTTTTAGAGTTATTTTATTTAGAGTTATTTCTCTAACCTTTGCAACCACTAATTTTTCGGAATATTTAGGAAAATTCAGACAACAAATCCTACTTAATACATGTAATTAGAAATTATTAAGATATATATCTCAAACATACTGTTGATTGTGTTTCGTGATGTAATCGGAGGAATGTCCATACATTCCTCCGGATCCTAAAACTATTGCATCGACTGAAAGACCTTCAAAAAGGAAGACAATTAAACAATAGGCCTCTGGCTAACAAATCGAGTCAATTATCGACTTACCTATCCCAAAAAGCGTAATTTTTTTATCTATTTAAGTGATTTCCCCAAATCCCGAAAAAATCCGGAATAAAAAAATATTGTCGTAAGGTAGTGTCCAGTTTCTGTCTCTGTTCTTCGAAGTTTATGTATATATACTCTACCTATTCTGATCACTGCTTAGTAGTTATGAAGCGTGTAAGAAAGGTGTTTAATACATCTGGATTTCATAAAATATTTCCTCCCTCTTACAGCCCTTGTAATAAAATTACCTATATTATTTGCCGTAAAACTGTTGGAATCATATTAATAAACTTGCTCACTATGAAACTACAAGGAAAACTATTAGGGCGCTCATCGGTAATAATTTTTAGTTGAATATGGCGCTGCGCAAACGTGTGTGTTGTATTGGAAACAAGCAACCGGCAGCTAGAAACGAATTATATTTTTATGCCATTAATATGAAGTCGGCAGTTACGGCAACCGGACACAGTCGACGGTTGCCGCAACCGCAATTGTATCAAAATGTTCGGTTGCTGGTTGCTTGCGCCGAATTGCGACCAAAAAAGGACGCGCGCGTGACACAACAGTTTTAAAATTAATAATGGCGCTTTTGTAAGCGTCTGATTTAACAGCGCTCTTAGATTCATTTGTTAAAAAATGTTATTTACATTTTAACAATTTGCATTCACTACAAATTTTCTATTTCATTGTTGATGAAAAATGATTTCGTCACTATTTTTTTTCTCCTTTTTTGCCCGTGGATTGGAAATTAACATTAACATACCAAAAAATCTGTTTTTTTAACCACGCGGCCACTCGACCTAGGCGAAGCGAGCAAATAGAAAGCTAAAACGAATCCATCTACACTTGTTAATCACGTTAATGATCGTAGTTTCTTATTTAAAAAAGGTGAAAAAATTCTGGACAGGTATTACAATCTAAACCTTACGTTGCTGACATATCGTAAAGTTCTATACCTTGTCTTGTTTTGCTTTTCGATTTTATATTGAAATTACATTCAATGTGCTGCCTTCTAGCGGTAAATGGCTGAAAGACGACGAACGATCGTCGTCGTCGAAGATTAGAAACATTTACATATTTATTTTTTATACATATGCACTATTATTACACAAATATTTATTACGTATATCAAAATAACATGTGTCAATGTCTATTAATGAAGTAATTTAATTAGTTTACACTTATGCCATCTTATTTGTTAATATTATTTATTTAGTGTAATTATTTTAGCACATGTCAACTATCACACACACATTACATATGTATTATACTTTTACACACACGTTGTATGCATTGTTTGCAACCGAGACCGTGCTTCACTCATATCGGGCCTGCTGAAAACCTGCGCTATAGGCAGGATATCCTGCCCGTAGCAAAATGCTGAGCAAGTCCCGTTTGTGTGCGCCACGACACTCATTACTCGTATTATTATTGTGTTTACTGTGATGTGAGATTATCAACAGTAAATTGCGTTTGTGTGCAAATTACTTTTCTTTGTCTATTTGTTGTACTATGCTATAGTTTCAAGTTTATAATGTTTAATATGATAGTTTTTAAGTTCATTCATGTGTGTCTTGGCGAACACAATAAAGTTTTCTTATTCTAAAAAGTTACGGAAATGGTGTACCAAAATGGAGTAGTCACATTTTGATAGACTATAGTAACTTTTGTTGGTTCATGAATAAATTTAAATGTCTGTGCGTAACATATAATTAATATTGTTATATCGTAAAATAAATATTTTAAACTTAAAGTTGGTTACTAAAAAAATACAAAAAATGTATCAGTTAAAAAGTTACGTTATAGGTGCAACAAAATGGTGTTGTTACGTTTTAAAAATTAAAGTGCTACTAAGTTACTTTTTCTTTATGGTTTACTTAAAAATATGTGCACTTTTATACACCCACCGGCAATTCAGCGGAGCACTAGTAAAATCCTCAAAATAATGCATTAAATTTGAATAGCAGTAGAGCTCCATGTGCAAGAGTTCGTCGACAAGCAGTAATTTGACCATTAACTGCGTTTCTGTGTTGAAGGGTAAGGGTGCTGGTGTTTTTTGTCTTGTCAACGTATGTCTCGGAGTGACGCAGTGGCTGTACCCCACAGGCGTGTTTGCGATTAAAAGCTTATGGACAGGTGCGTCGCTAATCACCAGGCATAAGACTTGTTCGTCACGTCACTATGTATCATAGAACAATGCGGTATTTTTTCAAATGTCTGGTCGATTGTATAATATGAAAATAAAAAATAAACGACTGCCATTTTTTTCATACGTTTATTTTACAAATGAATTTAATAAATAAAAAGACCTATATTTATTCACATAACAAATAAAATCACAGTAACTGTACACTAATGTAAAATGCAATCCAGTAATGTGGACAAAGAGGTTAAAGACTCAGCATTGCTGGTTTTCTGGTTTATATTTCGGAGTTGATTGAGCATTCTTATCAATTTCGTAAACAATAGTTGAAAAAGTTTTTTATTTATTGAAATTTTGTTTTATCCCTAAATCAATAAGAAATACATTTTGTTGCGTTGTTTTTTTTCCAATAAAAATTGAATATGATAATTAATGTGGTTACCAAGAAAATAGAATGATTATTGAAAAAGTTACGTGAAAGGTAACAACATGGTGTGGTCACGTTCTGAAATATGGAACTTCAATAGCAGTACAGCTCCATGTGCAAGTGTTCGTCCAGGGAAGTACTGCCACCTTACCTATTTCTGCCGTCAAGCACTAATGTGAACATTATTGGGTACGAGCGCTGGTAGATTTACAGACACACGAGTCTTGTCAACTTATGTCTCAGGGTGGCGGGATTAGTGGCCATGTCCCTTAGATCTTTGCACAACTAAATCTCGATGTGTCTGTTATGGACAGGCGTGTCGCTTACCACCAGGCGCACGATTTGCTCGCCTCGTCACTCAATATAAATCAAAACAGTCATATTTCCATCGATGTAACTTTCGCCAGTTGATTAAAAATTCACATTTGCACCTCATAACATATACCTTCTTGCTATTAATATAAGGGTTTAAATGTAAAACATTATCCATTAAAGAATACTCTTTAATGTTATTAAAATAAGCTTCAAAAGAGATTAACATTAATTTCAGATGTAAAGTAAGGCAAGTAATATTTTATAATGGACGTTAGTTGGAATGTGTGTAACCAGAACGTTCCTAAAGCGCATATGTTTTAATTTACAAAACCTGTTTGCTCCCGAACAAAACAACTTTGTACCTTAAAAACAAGGGTGCACTTAACAGGCTGAGTTTGGAATAATGGCGCATAAGGATTGTATAAATCAGGCTAATGGTGATTGAAAAATAATGTAAGACCACCTGCCATTGAACGACTCGTCTATTTTACCATACTTTATAAAAATAAGAAACACGATTGTGTAGAAATGATTAAAAATTCAAAATTTCTGCACTTAACAAAATATTTACACTTCTTATTATTAATAATAAGAGATTAGATGTAAAACAATACCTCTACCCCATTGACTTACAATTATGGACGTCGGATCCGCGCTAAATAGTGTCCGAACTTATAGGGCGTTAAAGTAAGGTAAGGTAAGGTCGTATTTGAGAATGGAAGTTAGTTTTGGAAAGTGTGTCACCATAATGTTTGTAAAGTGCGCATATTTTAAGTCACAAAAGCTCTTTGCTCCCGAACAAACAACTTTG